TTTATTTCATGCAATTAATATAAAATTTCTATTTAGCATTAAAGAAATTCAATAAAAAATATTTTTGGAAAATTTCTGTATGCATTATAATATATACATAATAAATGGAATAGAATAAAAAATTATATAATATTTTATAATTTTTAATTAATTAGTTGAATTATTATATTAAAAAAAATGTGAATAAAAACTGTCCAGTAACTTGAACAATCGAGTGGCTCCATGACAAATTTCTACTAGGAATAGATAGAATAGATCTTTATTTATTGAAGCGGGGATTTGAATGAAATATATACAGTTATTTATATCAGTTATTGTCTTAATTATTTCCTTATTACTATATACTTTTACTATATCACGTTAAATTTCAGTCCACATTTTCAATTAGGATGAAAATATATCTGTAAATCTATTTTTTCATTTTTTATAGATAACCAAATTTTTGTATTTTTTTGGGGATTTTTAAAAGTAGACAAATTTTCAATTATCTATAACTCTAAAACTATTGAATTTAGAAAACTGTGCCAAGAACAGGTTTAGTTTTTTACTTATATCTAATACACACTTACAAATAATAAGGATAGTTTAAAAAAAATATTTTGGTTCCCTACACGGAAAAAAAAAGTTCCCAGATATTTCAGGAATTATTTCCTAACTCTTGGATACGTGGTAACAGCTCTGAACTAGCGTCGAACATTCAATGGTAATCAATGAATGTTTGAAAGAAATTCGGGAACTGTATTAGAAAACGCTGTAAATAGTCCAATAGTCTTTTTTTCATTTCTTTCTCATGTAAAGTCCATGGCACTGGCCGCAACTGTTTCTGAAATTTTCGGGAACTCGTCAAGGAATCTTGGTGCGCAGAAACCCAGTGCGCACCAGTCTCAACAAGTCTCACAGTCAGTAAGACTTGCGTGCCTTATATATTTATTTTATGCTGAGGTATTTAACGCTCCTGTTTAGCTCACGTGGATAAGACGCCGGACTTCTATTCCTCGGGTACGCGAGTTCTGTTCCAGCCGCCGTCGATTTTTCTCTCATATGGTTTTTTCTATTTCAGAAACTTAATAAAAAATAAAAATTGTATGTGACCTTCAAGGATAAATGTGTGTGTGTGCGGACGTGTCAAGGAGGGGAAGTGGGAGGGGGGAAGCAGAATCCATTTTTTCTTGCATTCGCCTAACTTTTCGATTTTCTTGAATAGTTCCCGACTTTTTCAAGAACAGTTTGCCGAGAAGTGGTGAAATAGTTATAATTTGTAGAGAAATAGTAAATGACATATTTAAACGAGGCAACCTTTAGTTCTCTGTGAACTACCCGCCGTATCCAAGAGTTAAGAACGAAGTTCCCGAATAATCTTCGAACTTTTTTTTTCCGTGTATAGAATAGAAAAATAAAGGATACGTATTAGAGCTGTGCAAAATAATTCGAACCGAACTGTTCGAATTTTTTCACCTAGTTCGAATGTCGAAAATTCGACATTCGAGTTAGCTTAGTTCGAATGTCGGTTTTTCGACATTCGACATTCGAGTTACTACAAAATTCGAACCGAACCGAGTTGTGTTCGGTTTTAGTACGCTAAAATGTCGAATTCTAAAACTCGACATTTCAGTCGCTCAGTTCGAATGTCGAATATTCGACATTCGAGTCAGTCCAGTTCGAATTTCGAAAAACCGACATTCGAGTTAGCCTAGTTCGAATATTCGACATTCGACATTTCGGCGCCCCAAAACCGAACAAAACTCGGTTCGGTTCGAATTTTGCACAGCTCTAATACGTATACCTTTTTTCTACGCTCAGAGAAAAAGTTTGTTTGGTTATTGGAAAGAAATTTTTTATTTGATGTTGTTTGTTTCATTTAACCAAATTTGTGTTTTGAATAGAGAATATTGTTTAGTTAAATACAATTTGTTCGACGCAACACACAAATTTGTTTGATTCAACCAAATCATTTTATTTGACTCAAACAAAAATATTAGTAAGAAGAATATTTACAAAAAGGTTTTGTGAAGTTTTCAGTTGGTTGTTTCGAATAAACTTTTTCCTGAGTGCACGTATAAAAATCATATAATATGTTTAATGTAATATTTTAAATGTTTTTTTTATAATTAAGTAATTTTGTTTATGTGAAGAAATATATAATATTTTACTTAATTGTTATTTATTTTCCTCTAATAATGTTTGAGTTTCCTAATTTAATATTTTCTAGTATACATATTATTGGTTAATTTATAATTTACTATATGTATAATTTTAAAATATCAATAATTACATAATAAATTATAAATTAACCAATAATATGTACTAGAAAATATTAAATTGGGAAATTAAAATATTATTAGAAGAAAATAAATAACAAAATTAAGTAAACAAAAATATTTATTTAAGTGAACCAAATACGTTTACTAAAACTATTTATTTGAATCAAACAAATCTTTTCTCTTAAAATAAACAAATTTTTTAGTTATATTAAATAAATATTTTTGGTTAAGTGTAATAACCATTTGGTTAATACAAATAAACGTATTGGAAGAAATTATTTGGTTGAATCAAACAAACGTTTGGTTGACTGTATAGCAATGCATTTATTTGGTTGATTCAACCAAAATTTGGTTGTTTCGAACAAATTTTTTTCTGAGTGTAAACGGAATAAATAAAAAATACTTGTGACGTGGAATTGACCGTATATTATTATTATTTATATAATTGTTGCATAAGTTATTTTAATATTTTAAAGTCTTAAATTGAAAGTTTAAATATAAATCCCAATGTTTTTAACTTATTGCAGTTGAACCTCAGTGACTTTTAATGTAAATATCTAATAGAAGACATTTTATATAAATGCCATTGGATAGTGCAAAATAATTCCAAAACAATCATTTATCCGCAAATATAAACGAAAATAATTTCAATTTCTATTATCTGAACCAGATCCTGCCTGAATTAGTTCGGATAATTCAGTTTCCACTGTATTTAAAAAATCTTTAAATTTCGCCGGGAATTTGAAAATCATAATTCGTTAGACACCCTGTATTCACAGACGTAGCTAGGTAGAGGCCAGGGGGGGCACGGTCCCCCCAAAATTTCTCCGGGACCCCCTGAAGAAATGACATAAACATTAATAAAAAATAATACATTTAACGTATAGGGCTAAATTTTAGTTAAATTTAGTGCCTACACTGAGAAAACTGGAGTATTGGACTAAACATATCTGGAGGGACAAATCGTTGATATTTGATAGTTAGCTATTGGATAACAATCTAAATGTTCAAATACACCATTGACAGATATTCGTGCCATTTCTCTTGGAGGGAAAATGAGTTTATAACAGAGGGACAAATTAACCATCTTGAGAAATCCCTTCCTTATCCGGCGCGAAATGAATAAATATGGCAACCTAACCCCTAAATTAAATGTACATAAAATGTCAGAAAAATAATTTCGCGCGCATCAGATCGTACACATTTTCTGCGCAACTTTTAACCCTCAGATATAATGGGAGAGAATATACAAGTAGATTTCCATTATCAATTCGAAATTTATTTCAGAAGGACTATTTAACTCTCTTCATAAGCAAAGGAAACATACACTTTTTGAACCTCTGAATTTGACTCTCCAGTTTTCTCAGTGTAGAAAAACATTTTTCGAAAATTTAACATTAGCACCCTTCTCCCCCATAAATATATACCTATCAGAATATGCGCACCGGGGCCGGGCCCTCCCTAGCCAAAAGTTCTAGCTACGCCTATGTCTGTATTTTTCAGTTTTTTAAAAACTTAACTGAACTTTATGTTCATCCATAAGTTTTGAATGTTCAAATGAACGAAATATTTTTCATCTAAAAGATTTTCATAAATTATCGATTGCATTAAAAGTTAGAAATTTTTATTTTGCATTTAGAAACTTTGTATTTACTTTTATTTATTTGTGATGCAAAATTATTGTAATAAAAATATTATTTGGAAAATAAATTAATACATTTCTTTTCTTTAAACGCTTAGAAATTTATGATCTCTTTTTCGAATATATTTTAATGAGGAATCATTCTTATTTTCCAAACTTTCTAAATTATAATGCTAAAATTGGTGAAATGACTTTTTTTTGCTTTAAATTCGTCTGATAGTTTTTTGAGCGCCCGCGGAGAAACAGACTTTTTCTCTTACCAGGTATACATATGCATGAAACGTTGAAGCATCATTCCTTAGAGATGAAGGAAATACCCCTGGGTATATAACGCCACATACATGAGAATGGGAAATTGAGGGAGTTTTCTTCTCTATTCTTCCCTTAGAATCATCCATTAGTGGCAAAGAATTAGTCGTACGTGTTTCAAGAAACTTATTTTCTTTTTTACAACTCAGGTGTAATTAAGGTATAAGGGGATCACGTCTCCAAAATGAAGGAGTGGATCCTTAAAAAAGGGAAGAAAAAAATAAAAACAAAAGTTTCACCTGTAGAATAAAAATGATTCCTTGTGTTTGTTTGTTTTTTATACTGTCGTATATAAAAGTTTTTTTTTGAAAATTTCTATCAGTATTTTTTTCCTTTTATTCGTAAAAAAATTTTTTTGCAGGACTTTTTAGTTGGAATGAAAACAAAGGAATTGTAATGCATTATTTTTGAAAGATTCTTTTTATTTTTTACAGTTTTTCTAAGGATAACAAATTGAGACAAAAACTGTATCAAAACGTTGCTTTGCAACAATTTTGATACTTTTTTTGTCTCAATTTGATATCCTTAGAAAAACTATGTTAAACATTTTCTCTTGCTTTCTTTTTTTAATTACTTTCTGAATGAAATTTTTAACAATATTTCAAAACATTGTCGTATTCTTTTTCATTACTAATCTTTATATTATTTATATTCTATTTTTATATTTTACTTTAGTATTTCATATTTATATTTTACATTTAACTTTTTTATATTTTATTTAATTTTCGAACGGGATATTTGAGATCATTATGATTATGTTTTTAAAAAAATTTGATGCTAATATTTACCCGGATTTCCAAGATTAATTTCAATTCTTCCTTCGTTAGGTGAACGACCTCCAGTTAATCGAATGGCCATCCCTCGCTGATGAAGATCCTTAATTTTCATCTTAGGTAATTGGACAAAATTTAGACTTGATTCTGACGCGATTTCCTCTTTGTCGTTCATGCAGATAACACCTGCTGCTTCGCCACTCTTACAATCAGTCTTACTCCATCCATCAAAACGACACTGCGCCAATTCATCTTCAGTGCCATCGCAATATAAATTGTCCATCCAAAATCTTCCTTTAGCGATAATAATTATAATTTTATTATTAATAATATTAATACTATTAGTAATAATAATAATAATAATAATAATAATAATTTTGAACTTTTAAACTTTAAATAAGAATTATTACTATATATTAGTTTAATTTTGGCTTATTATAAAAAAATAAATTGTGAAGTTCTTAAGAAGGAAATGCAGTTAAATAAATTATTAATATTGTTACTGTTATTATTAATTATTTAGTTCATAATTGTTTTTGACGAAAAATTTTATTTATTATTTATATAATTTGGAATTATTTTTAAATTATCTGTAGAGGGATTGAATTTAATTTCTTAATAATTTATTTTCTTTTTTAGGTTCTTTAATTAACGATTCTTGTGGGAAAAAGCAAAGATGTAAGTTTTTAACAATTTATAATATTATTATTAGGGTAAGTCCTAGGGAGATGGCCAGTTGAAATATTTTACAGAATTTGTAAAGAAATATCACTTATTATGGGTTATTCTTCAACCTTTTGTGACTACTAATAAATGTAAACAACAAATTGTTGAAAAATAATAAAAATGTAAGTGTAATCCGTCAACATTTTTTTTGCATGGGTCTAAAATAATTTGAAAATTTCAGATTTCTTATTGCCATATTTCATTTCATTTTATTCTGCAAAATTCAAAATTAAAAAAAAATTGTTTTGTAAAATGAAATATTTAGAGTTTATTTCTAAATATTTGTTTTAGTTGTTCTTGAATTTGACTTATGTTTTTGCTTAAAAAAGTAAATTGAAAAATTATTTTTCTATAATAACTTTTAGATATTAAAGAAATACATTAAAATTTCAAACAAATGAAAATATCACACAGTTAAGAGGTTAAGACACAAAAATATAATGATTGAGTTAATAGTACAATGACATTGGTCTTGATTAAAATTACACGCTTCAGGAAATTATAAGAGAAAAAGAGGGAAAATTGTCGGTAGAAATTTACACGGCAATAGAAATGAATGCGTATTAGGGATCATCCATAAATAACGTTACACTGATTTTCAGGTTTTTTTGACCCCCACCCCCCTTCGTTGAATTTGGTTTCAAATTACCAACCCCCCCCCCCTAAATATAACGTTGCAAAAATGACTTATACCCGCACGGAAAGAAATTTGGTAAGATAATATCATTTGGGAAAGTGATAGATTTTTAGGATCAATAGGCGAATAGAATTTAACCATCTAACGCGAGTAATATTAATATGAAAATATTTTAAAGGAGCTGCAGATAGAAAGAAAGCAAAAGCCAGTTGTAAAATTTCCATCTATTTGATGTGAAAAATGCTCGTAGGCCTTATTACAGTTTCAGCACAAGTCACCTGTTACTATTCCATCGGCCACCACTATTTTTCAGGCGGAGTTTGTACAACACAAACTAACCTTTATATACCTGCATGAACACATACACACAAGCAACGTTACATTTCAAAATCACCCACCTCCACCCTTGTTGCAATCAGTTGCATTTTTCGACCCCCTCCCCTCCCCTAATCGTGTAACGTTATTTATGGATGCTCCCTACGTATGAAATGAGAATAGAATAATGAGATACCTATACACAATGTTTTAGAGAACACTTATAGTTAGGAAAAGGATGTAGAAAAATATGTCATATAGAGACAGTTATTTGATTAAAAAATATAATAATAGTAATAATAATAATAATAATAATAATAAAAATTATAACATTTATAATTATAAAATTATTATATGATATTATCACTTGGTTGTTATAAATATTTAATAAACATTGAATTTAACGATCATTCCGAGTCCGGTGTATAAAATAAAACAACTAATGTTGTTTAATGTTTCGACAGCGATTTACGGATTACCCAAAATCCACAAAAGGGATAACCCTTTGAGACCTGTTGTTTCAACTATTGGTTCTCCAACGTCCTTTTTATCCAAACAATTGTTCGAAATACTTGATAAATCCATGATGAAACCAAAATCTTATGTACGAAACAGTTTTGATTTTATTGAAAAAATTAAACATTTTATTATTCCCGATAATCATATTTTAATTAGTCTCGACGTTTCATCTTTGTTTACTAATGTTAGTTCTGGACATGTACGTAATTCTATCATCAAACGATATAGGACAATATCTCAAAATTTTAATATTGATTTAGATGAATTAATTGACTTATGTCAATTTTTATTTGATAATACTTTTTTTAAATTTAATGATAAATACTACCAGCAAATTTATGGTACGCCCATGGGATCATCAATTTCTGGTCTTTTTGCTGATATTGTCATGGAAGACCTTGAGACCTATTGTAAATGCTCAATTGTCTTTTAAACCTCTTTTTTCTATAGAAACGTTGATGATATAATTACTTGCATACAGAAAGATAAAATTGACGAAATGATTAATATTTTTAACAGCTATGACGAAAGATTACAGTTTACTTTTGAAATAGAAAACAATAATACTATTAATTTTTTGGATGTTCTCATTATTATTAACGAAAGAAATCAACTCATTACTGATTGGTACAAAAAACCCACATTTTCTGGACGAACCATTAATTACCATTCTAAACATCCTTTGGCTCAAAAAATTGCAATAATTTTTAACTTAATTGATAGAGCTATAAAACTCTCTGACAAACAATTCCACTCAAAAAACATAGAATATGTGAGAGAAATTTTATTAAAAAATAATTATCCATTAGATTTTATAAACAAGCATATATAATGATACGTGTTTCTTTTATAGAATCTAATTCTCTATGTTCTATTGACAAAAATGTCATACTTTACACAAGTTCACCAAAAGTTCTCTTACCCTATGTTCTGAACCTTTTTGAAAAAACTTCCTCACTTCTGAATAATTATGCTATTTTATCCATTCCTTGCAAGAATTATAACATGAATCATAAATTTGTTAAAAAAGGCAAAGATAAAAATGTAAAATCTGAGAACACCAACACTGTTTATAAAATTAATTGTGAAAATTGCTCTGCATGTTATGTGGGACAATCAAAAAGAATGGTAGATGTTCCTATTAATGAGCATAAAAATTCGGTTTCTAATGTAATTGCTACTCATGATTTTTTTAGACACAAATTTGATTAGAAAAATTTTCTCATATTGGACAAAGAAGCAAACTACAAAAAACGTTTGATATCGGAAATGATCCATATTAATTTACAAAAAAATCCGGTTAATAAAAAGGAAGACGTACAAGATCTTAGTAATTGCTATAATCATTTTATAAATGAAATGAAATATTCTTAATCTGTTTGATTTGCCCTGACATTTCCTAAATTTTGTTTACTGACACGGTCATTCACCTCACGTCAGTTAAATTATACTTCGTGAATTATATACATTTTATTTACCAGTGTCCACTTGTAATCGCCACGACAAAGATGTTCCTTTTGGAACCTTTTCTAATTTTGTTTATTTTTTTTCGGTAAATAATTGTTTAAAAATAAGTTTATAATTATTAACTTCATATTTTTAAGAATGTATTTTAATTTAATTATTTTTCTTTTTTTATTAAATAAATTATAGTTTCTGAAGAGGGCAGCCGTGCTGTCGAAACGTTAAACAACATTTGTTGTTTTATTTTATACACCTGACTCGGAATGATCGTTAAATTCAATGTTTATTAAATATTTATAATTATAATTATATTAATTATTAGAATAATTATTTTTAATTTAAAATATTATTATTTATTATTATAAAATTTTGTATTTTGGAATAGTTGAGATAGATTAAAAAATTGCAGAAAAAGTGAAGTTTTAAAAGTTTTTTGGATTTTCCAAAAATAGAGATTCTAAACTGATGAAAATTTTAGTACTCTTATATTTTACATTAAATCACAATTTTAGGCCCTACACCCAGAGAAAAATATTATTTAAACCAAATATATTTTATTTGAGTTAAATAAACGTATATTTGTCTCAGAACCAACTAGACTTTTTATTTCTTTTAAATAAAAATTTTATTCGACACAAATAAAACATATAATTGAGATAAATAAAATTTTATTCAAACCAAATAAAATTTATTTCAAACAAATAAAAAGTCTAGTTGGTTCTGAGACAAATATACCATTTCTCTGGGTGTATGTTGAAATAAAATACAACCTTTTTTAAAAAATAATTTTAAATCTAAAGAATTTAATTTTTATTATTTTAAACAATTAAAATAAGCTTCATTTAAATAAAAATTACAATTTGTTACATCTAAGAAGAAACGATTATTTATGGTAATAATATACACGGAGAGAAATGTGCTACGAATAACGCACGAGACATGTTGGTTCGCTTTTCGCATAGACGTCTGTACCTAATTTTGCAAAGGCCGGTGCTAACTTTGCACAGCTTGTGTCTACTTGTGCCATAATTGCTCAAAATCCATGAAAAATCAGCATGGATTTCTTGCAACTTACGCATGGTGGTGTGTGTGCGTTTTTAGTACGTCTGCTCATACGCTAAGAGCAACAGATTTCTCACTGAGAAAACGATTTATTTGATTCAAATATATTTTGTTTAAATCAAACTTAAAATATCTTTGCTATGCAATTAAACATATTTTTGAGATTAATTGAACATATTTTTTGGTTCATTTAAAGAAATAATATATTCAATTTAAACATAAGTTATGGTTGATTTTAAATTATTTATAATTAACTTTTAAGTTTGAATTAAACATAATTTTTATTTAAATCAAAACAGAAAATATGTTTGAATTAAACATAATTATTCAAACAAATAATATTTTTGAAATTTTCTATATATTCACGTAGAAAAATGGAAAAATGATTTATGCAGTCAGTGTAGTACTCCTTTATAGAATAATATGTGACAGGTACACACTATAGTATTAGAAGTTTCATAGCTGAACACTTTGGGACTCAACACAAGTTATCCCATTCATCAGCTTAAACAAGACTGTTTATATAGTCTAAGAGGGAATAAGAGTATAAAAAATTGGAATGAGAAATTTC